CTGGTACTTAATCCTCTTACAGAAAATTTACCTCTAAATTTGAAGCTGGAAAGTCACTGGAACAACTGAAAAACAACATATAGCTTTTTTTGGTATGTGTGTTAAGAATTGTGTACAAAGTGAATCATGTGTACTGATCCTCAACACAACCAATAAAATCTCAAATATTGAAAAAAAAATACAAGCTTCAGACTCAAAGCTTGGGGAAAATAGCGAACCGATGAAAAAATGTGCAAAACTTGAACGAACTTACAAGCTCACAGTCTGAAATGTACTTATTGGCACAAGTTAGGCACGTGTTGTGATCATATTCCTCATTGGGAGTCTGTCCCTGTACATATCGAGTTTGATTCCTTTTCTTTCCCACTTAACTCTCCTCTCTTCAATCCCTCTTCCCTTCTTCATACACAAAGTCTTCTTTTCCATTTTATCTTTCTTTCATTGTTTTATTTCTTCTTTAAGGAAGGAAGCAAAAAGAAAAAATCAAATTCTGACAAGTTAAAAAAGTGGTTTCGCTTTTCTTTCAGATACAGATGGAGTCATATTCATCTCCCAGTCCCTGTCACACCTGCCTCATGAAGAAGCCCAGATGTGGACACCGGGGAGGTCAGGGCACGAGTGCAGGGGCGCACGAGATCTGCCGTACCTGGTATCCGGGAAAACCCCATGGAAAAATGTAAGTATGAGTGAAAAGCTTGGTGTAGTTTCCAGTGTGGGAAAATGAAGTATGATATTTGATGGTTCTCTCTTGACCCACCAAAGTCATTACTTAAGAACTGTCTGTCAGCAGGGAGGCCTGGAGAGAGTGGCAAAGTTGACAGGAGATGGGAAGGAGTAGCACTAGAGAAAGAGTGGCAAAGTTGACAGGAGATGAGAAGGAGTAGCACTAAAGAAAGGAGACTGGTAATATTAACATTAAAAGAACATTAAACTTTACTATATGACAGGAACTACACTGAGCATGGAATTTAATCTGCATCAAATTCTGACCCAGTGGTAATAGAATTGGGAGAATAAAGAGTTGAAATATTTTGCCAGGGTCAGAGACTTCCTATGTGACATGGACAAAGTGACTGGCTACAGACATTAAAGATGCTTCAATGTTGTGGTAATTTCCTCAGAGTAGAAGGTGAACTGAACAGAGTAAAACACAAAGCGCTGTACAGACAAATAAGTTTATAGTCTTTAGAAAAACATTAACATCTGTGCATCTGCCCAGAAAAACTCTAGAAGTGGACTTACCTTTATAGTAATAGTTGTTGATTTTGGTGATGTGATTATAGATGTTTTTAATTTACCTTATCCTGTTTAACATATACCTTAAGATTATTATTGGTATGTCTTTATGACACGTAAAGATTACATTTATCTGTGGAGGGGGCTGTATACAGAACACCGCTTAACCATCTTTACTTTCCAGCTGCTTCCTTGCCCTCTCCCCTTCTGCTAGTTTCAGCATCATTCCAGGAAGTCTCTGCTTCTCAGTGCTGTGAATCTCGAGCACTTTGTCCCTCTGTTCTTCATCATCATCATCTGTAACATGCATCCCTAAATGTCCCCGATAAGTGGTTGTGGTAAAGATGTTAAGATGAAGAACTCCTACAAAAGCAAAATGACAAATCCTCCTTGGTATCTGTGATTTTACAAATTAGTTCTAATTAATCAGGCAATATGCAGAAACAGGAATCCTCCGCAAAATAGCTGTCAAGGTTTTTTTGCTGTAGCTAAGGCACCTGCATGATTCACTGTCATTCACACTAAGGACCGTGCACTGATCAGGGCTCTATTTCAATTTGCAGGATGGACCTGAGATGCCCAAAGCCACATTTCCTGCAGCCCTGCAGAGCTGCGCCGCCCAACCTACCACTTCCTTCCGCTGCCACTGCTGGCCATGCCCTCCAGTCAGCTCGGGGTTTCCACCAACCAGCTCCCCACTCTCCTGCCCCCTCATTGAGGACACAGCCTGGCTTTCAGGATGTCCCTGCTGCAAACACTCACCTTCTTCTCCTTCTGGGCTTGTGAGTCACTTTATGCCCATTTTGGTCCTGATGAGTGACCAAAGTAATTCTCCCAAAACTCCTTATTATATTCCTGGAAATTCAATTGACAGTTCTCCTCTTTTCCTTACAGGTGGGCTTGGACTGAACACAGTGGAGCAGTCCCAGATATCTGTTTCCACAGACCTAAATAAAAGGGCTGACATACACTGCAAGGTATCAACAGATAGTTTTGCATCTGACCGTATTCAATGGTACCGACAGAAGCAGGGCCAGGCATTAGAGCATCTGGTTCTAGTAATCTCAACAGAAAACCCAGCTCAAGGAACAATCAGCAGAGTTACGGCAAGTAAGAGGTTGGAAACTCTGTCCTCAATCCTTACAATACGTCGCATAGAAAAAGAAGATGAGGCCCTTTACTACTGCGCTGGGTGGACCGCACAGTGCTTGGGCTGTGGAACGCACCCACACAAGATCTCTTTCTGGCTCTGTGCCTGCCACATCCTGCTCTGCAGAGGTGGCACAGTCAGGTTTCCAGATGCGCTCCAGCCTTAACACCATCACTCAGCACCCCTGGGTTCTCCAGAAAGCCGCCATGGTGGTGCAGTCGCCCCAGCATGTGAATCTCGACCTCCATCTCATGCTACTTTTGACAGAGTTCCAGCCCTGTCTGTGGGCTGAGAGGACACCAGCTATGTCACCCCCATCTCAGAAGGATATAGAGTTTCTCGGGAAGCGGCCACTGTCAGCACATGGAGGGACTCATGGTGACCAAAGTCTTCACCTACGATGCGTACAACACACACTGCACCTCTGTGGAATAACTGTGTCTAGTGTAGGGTTCAACCCAAGACACTGAAGCTGAGAGGCCTGAACCCTTGTGAGCAATGCCTGAAAGAAGTTGGATTTGTTCAGTGGGACTATCTTCAGTGGGACAGTTTCGATGCTGAAAACTATAGGATTGAAAGTCTGTGACTGAGTGCTGGAATATCTCTGGCGCACAGTGGAAGAAACAGGTTTAATTTTTGTAGGTTGTGGTGTTAATTCTGCTTACATGATGTCACCACAGTTGACTAAGTTACCTAAAGGGTCCACAAGCCATAAATACTCCTTGTTCCTGACTGTACAGGAAGGAGAACTTTGAGCTAACATTGTTTCTGTGTGACTTCTCTTTAGTGTCTCAGGACTTTTCCTGGGTCACGTGCTTTGGCCTTCACTCCCTACAGGGTCTATTCTTATTCTCAGCCCGCCCACCTGAGTCAGGACATGAGAGAAGCTCTGAGTCATGTGGAACTTTTTCCAAAGTCACACAGTTGGTTCAGGATAGAACAGTGTTGAGATACAGGTAATTTGGGATTTCTTGACTAGCACATGAAAGCGTTTGTCTATCACAGGGGTATCAAAGCGAGGACACACAGTTCCCACACCATGGAGGAGACATGGAACCATCATGAACTCATAGAAATTATCCTCTTGTGTTAGAACATGAGCCCTGGATTGGAGAAATTAATTTAGGGTATAAATGAAAAGATAATCAATTTCCAGTTAACTTTCATTAGAAAATTGATTCCCACCTTCAAACATTCATTTACTTATATTATTTTCCTTTAGGTATGTCAAAGTGGAACAAAAGTAAGAATGTTTTCTGTAATATTCAATTATAGAGCATCTGAAGCTTTAAAAATAACATTTTGAGACTTTGCCAATAATTATGAAATATTTGCCAATGATTATCAAATAATACACAAAGTATATATAGTATGCATTAACTCTGAATGATACAAATGCCTATATTATTGGAAAGGATCAAATGAAGGTACTATAGTGGTATTAGGATAGATGTTTTCCTCCATATGATGGGTGGAGTGTTTCTTGTTATACTTTTATTGGTTTTATTCATTGTTGCAAAAGAAAGGCATACATTTTGCAATAAAATATTATTTAATGAAACATATTTCTTGTACTTTAATAATAAATAAAATATAACTTGAAAATTTAATAAATATTTATAATGTTCCTTAATTACTATGCATGGTTTATATTTATTCTCCTCATGTAATAAGTTTACTTATTTCAGGTTCTTAGAGATACTTGAGCAATTATAAATGTAGAAAATGAGACAGAAAGAGATTCAGCCACATCAGATGAAGTTATAGGGCTGCTTAGCATCACAGGTCATTAATGAGAACATTCACAATGGCTTTATTAAGAATCTGTTATATTTTTACACTTAAAAGTATCTGAAAGAATAGAATATGAAACCATGTCTGAGCTACAATTGAAAAAGTATTTAGTACAAACATGCTACTATGAAAACATGTAGAGAAAATGTTTAAAAGTATATGATAATTACTGACAGGGCCTGCACTGTACGCCAGTAGAGAAAGCACCTGCTGAGGCAAGCACAGGGACATGCAATCAATCCCTGGCACCACATTCAGTATGGGCACCACCCCTGGGCATGCTGAGCCAGCCACTGAAACTGGGCCTGCTGGTGCATACCTGTAATCCCAGTGCACGGGAGACTGAAAACAGATGGATCACTAGGAATCTGAGCTGCATCCTGTGACCCTGTATCAAATACAATAAAAAACAATTTGATAATGGCTTTTTGTCATCCTTTTTGAGAACACTTACTCAGATTTTCTTCTGGGAGTTTCTGTTCTTTTCCCAGTTCCACAAGAGCCAGCTTGCTGACTAGACATCAAGCTCTTTGCTCCACTTTTCCTACTGTCAGAGTGAGAACGGGATTCCCTGATGTTAGGCCGGGGAGGAGCATGAGTGACATGGTACAAGACCATGTACAGGAGAGTGTCAACTGTTCTTGCTATTCCATCTGATACTGAATGTTAGGCTCATCACACAAAAATAAAATTGAATATGCCTGGAAGGCTGAGGCAAGTGGTTCATTGCAAGTTTGAGACCAGCCTGAGCTACAAAGTGAGCCCAAGGTCTACCTGAGCTGCACAGCTAGACACTGTCATAAAAAGACCAAAAACAAAAAAAAAAAATATGGTTTTAGAATATATCTCTTGGACAGCGTCTTCAGAATGTTGTAAAGCCCAGGCCAAGTAGAAGCTGCTCCCTTCCGCACCCATCACTCTGTGTCATCTTCCCTCTACCAACTTCTGTGAGACGCTCTCCTGAGGGAAGCCCAGAGCATAGGAACTTGACTTCCCTGAGTTGTAATCAGCACGGGGCCCTGTCCTTTCACTGCACTACAGATCCTCCATGTCTTTCGAATCTTAATGCCTGTGGCTTCTCAAGTGAAGTGAGAATGACCTCAAAGTTGAAGGTCAGTTTAGTTTTTAACCTTCTTACGAAAGTATTTTCAAGTTAATTTTATCTTTTGATTACTTCATGGTGCTGCACTCAAAATCTTCTAATCATTTTGCGATACAAAGTGCACTCATAGCCACTATCTATTATTCCAACATCTCAGACCTACAATCCTAGCAAATTAACTGAGGTTCATTCTTTTAATTCTTTTTTTCCCCCATTTTTTGTCAGTAATCAAACTCAGGACATTGGGCTTCCAAGAAGGCACCTGTGCTGATGTGCTATCTCCATAGCTAGGTTAATTTTCATTTTGTAAAATACACCTACACAATGGTACCAACAGAAACTAAAGCAAAGGACTCTGATATGCATCTCTGCAATAGAAACCCTTATTTGAGGCTATTTGGGTTCAAATAAAAAAATTCAACAAGAAAAACTTTCAAATATCTATTTCCATCCTTATGTAAAACTTGATGGAAAGAAAATGTATGGTTATTTATGCTGAGCCACTTGGGGCTCAGGGCACTGGAAATGCCAAGCTGGCCCACAGGGCAGCCTCCTTTGACATCTGCTCACCCACATCATCCCCTTGTTTGCAAGCTCAGCATTCTCTCAGCTTGACTGCAGACTCTGCCTTGCCTTCAATCAACCCTCTTGACACTTCTGGAAAGACATCTTGGGTCCTGTTCCTTATGAGGCATTGCCCATTTCATTTCCAGATCTTCAATGATACTACTGTGTTGTGCAGTTGGTCTCCACCTGCTAACCTGCAGACACAGAGTAGGATCCCATTGGCATCATCATCCCAAAGACATGTGCTATCTGCATCCTCTCATCCTGAAGGAGAGACTCAGTGTTTCCTGGGAATCCCACATACAATGATCACATCACCTCCGCAGTGAAACCAGTGCATGTCCATTTTACAGGGAGGCAATGAAATCTGGATGAGTTATAATCAGCAAAAGGGAATCTCAGTTGTTTAAAAATGTAACTAAACCCTAATTCACCCTGATATTGGAATGATCACAGTTCTTTTTTTTTCTTTATTTTTTTGAGATATAAATATGAATGAGATAGTTTCTTTATTTTTCAAAATTTTATTGATAAACAGCAATGAGACAGTTTCAAATCAAATCGGAAGTACAGTTTCAACAAATAATACACTGCATATATTCTGCTTAGTGGTTAATTGCTGTACAAGATGCAGACTTGAGATCCTATTTACAAACACCATTAGAACAAATCATTCTATTCATTAAGAGAATGCAACTATATATCTATCCTAACCACTTTGAATACACAGATACAAAATGGACATTCATCAGTATACCCCATTTTTTCTAAGTTCCATTATGAATATTATAGGAGTGTAAACTCAGCAAAATATTCTAAAAGAGTCCAGTAGCCCATAATAGCATTGGGTCTTCTGTTTAACTGGCAATGTCAGAAATTATTGACCTGAGTCCCCCACAGCTCAACATAACATCATGGCTTTACTTCCTATATTTCGTCTTCATACTTTTCTACTGGATGGTTAAGACCAAGGTAAAGCAGGACCTGTGCAACAAGAGTTGTAGTTTTTTGGTCTGAGAAGGTCAGTGAAATGAAATGAGATATTTTCACAGCTGATTAATAGGACAGTTTGGATAATCAATACATTGTACATTGTTGTCTTCTTAGTGGTTATCCATAGAACAACAAGCTGATAGAATATCCTGTCCAAACACTATTAGTACACCTCTTTCTTATCACTGAATTAAACGAAAGTGGCTGTATATTTATCCTAACTATTTTTATATATAAATACAAAATGATCTTTCCTTTGTATCCTTTTTTTTTGTCCTGGCAGAGGTGGATATTCTATTGGCATCTAAGTACTATAGATGTTTGAATTTAGTTAAACAATCTAACACTGTCTAGCAGTCTATAATATTAGTGGGCTATCCTCAGAAGTTATTGACTTGAGCCTTTTACAGCTCATCGTATGAATATGGCTTTACTTTATATACCTTGTTTTTATACTTTTCTGTTGGATGGTTAAGACCAACATAAAGCAAGACCTATATAACAAGAAATGTAACTTTTGTATCTGATAAGGTGAGCCAAGTACTCTCAGGATTTATCCTGTAGCCCTGTACTGCACTTTGTACATTTTTTGACAGTGTCAGCCATGAGGATGAGTCACGGCCATTGCTTGACCAATTTGCTTTCTGTGAAAGCTTGAGAAAATGTTTTTTCTCTCCATTTGACTCTCTCCAGGCACACTATACATCATCGATCACATTCCACTGTGGCTCCATAATCTTATTGATCAGAATATTTGGAGCACAACTGAGTTACATGTTGTTACAGTACAGGTTCTCCTATGTCTTGAGTCTTCACTGACCTTGAAAAGCTAGAGCCAAAATCTTGGCTGATCTTACCACCCTTCTTTTTCTCCAATTTTAAACTGCTAACTTAGATTGTTAACCCTCCAGAAGAGAAGCTAGTTATTAACCTGCAATATATGCTGTTTGGTTTACCCTATCTGTTTAAATATCAAGCATTTTTGGTATATCATGGAACAGGTATTTTCCATCAAATATTGATATGTTGAACCTTAAGTCCTTACAGAATATGAAGGAAACATAATTTTATAAAAGAAGAAAGAAGCATTTACATATTTTTACAGAGAAATTTAGAAACCTAACCATATATGGACAGACATGTGACTTTTTTTTCTTATTCTTGTGTCTTTATTTTCAATTTATTACCCTTTAAAAAAGCCTTTAATTTAGAGACATTATGACAACAAATGGTATGTCATGACAAGAAGTACATATTTAGAAGACCAGGATGGCAGGCACTCCAAGCATGCCCCCTCTGTTACACATCTGCCTCCTCAGTGCAGCCGCCTGGCTCACGGGCACCAACATATACAGTTAGTCAGAGTGAGAATCCCACCAGCCAAAGCTAGTCTCAAAAACCTGCTGATGTACCCCAGGATCACTGCCTCAGCTATCTCATGCATACAAATGTATGGCTTTGCCCCTGTCATATTTGCCAGCTTTTCCCCTTGCCCACTCCTCATTGTCCAGTCCTCAAGTTCTTACTGTCCTTTTATTTGTGTTGTAACTTTCTATATGTAGTTCCTCTTTTAAGTCCTTTTACTAGGGAGATTATATGATATTTACAGATGTGGGTCTGGTTCATTTCACTTATAAGTATATCTTCAAGTGGCATCCACTTAAATATGAAGGGTTCGAGTTTATCATTCTTTTTAGTTGAGTAGTACTCCATTATATAAAAGTACCACTTCTTTTTTCAACCATTCCACATTCTACAACACTGATTATCTGAGACAGGGCCATTGGGACCCATCTATTGTCTTTCAGAAGGGGAGGATGAGCACAGGTTCTTGCTTCACATTCAATGATATACATCATGTTACGACCTGACTAATGCTTTCAGGTATTAGGCTGCCAAGTGAATACACCAGAGAGAGGATAATTTTGGATTAGTTTATGACAGAAAGCATGGGTCAAGAGAACCACATGAATAGTCTTGTGAGTGAGGGAGACCTTCGTCAGCACCTTCAAGCTTTTGCATAAGCTGAATCTTCTGTGCTTCATAGCAACTCGTGGGATCTTTTCTGTTGTTACCCTAAGATAAATATGATGCTACTTGTTTCAGACACTTGTCCAAGTCACATAGTTCATCCATGGCAAAGGAGTCTCAGGCTCAGGCCATCTGGCTCCTGAGGTTGAAATCCAAAGGACTGGAAGATAAAACGAAGTGCTGCATATAGTTCTTGCTCCCACAGAGAAGAAAAATCCCACCTTTGTGAAGCATGCACTATACAACAGTAACTCTGAGCTGAATAATAAGAGCAGGATTTCAGTGACCAGGAATCATAGACTAAAGTAAATGCCAGTGTGTATCAGGATGGAATCAGCCAGTGGGCATCTTTCTCACCCCCCCCCCCGCACCTGGATGGCCTCAACCTTTGAGATCTATTTCCTGCCCTTAGTGCTCCTAACCCTCGTGTTCCCTCACTGTGAGCCACACTGACGTCTTCCACCTATGTGTGACATCCCTATTGGTTACCTAAACTTTCAGTTAGAGAGAAGGACATTCCAGTGTGCTGAGAAACAGCAGTTTTCTGAGAATATGTACACTCTCTACACAAGAATGTAGAAACAAGCTTTCAGAGTGTGATACGTTCTTCGTGTCGCTGCCTTATCCAGTACCCCAAAGAGCATTCCCAAGCCGTAGTGAGTTACAGGGATGCCTTATTTTAGGTCTTAGGACAGAACACTCTTATCTGTTGTCTCTCGGGGCTCAGAAAAAGTGGGAATAACAGAGAACAAGACCCACGATACCTTCTACATTCAAAAGAGGGAAATCCATGCAGCTTTGAAAGTCAAAGTATGGTGGGCTTATCAAACATTTAGAAATTATTAACAATACCACCTACATAGAAACTCAAGAAGTGTGAAACAATCTCTTAAAAATATGAATATGTGTGAAAGTTTTTATCCCAGTTACACAATGTGAGCAGAGTCTTCAGAACTGCAGTAAATCATGACGAACCCCTGGAAGCAACCTGGCGCTGGACTTCTCCATAAGCCTCAGGAAGCCCCGCCCTCCTTCCACTGACCAGAGGCCCCCAGCTCACCGGGCCCATACCATCTCACCTGCTCCCTGGGACCCATCCTGGCCGAGGGGATGCTGCTCTTGAACGCAGTCTTCCTCTCCTCCCTCTGCCTTGTGAGTGATTTCCAGTCATTTTCTTCTATAGGAAAGAATGAACCCATGCTTTCCTGTTACTTATTCTTGTTTCATTTGTTTATAAGGAATTCTCTTCTCTGCTTGCCACTTTACTGGGGAACTTGTAATAAAATGAAATATCAATATCCAGAGCAAGAGAAAAGACTGCCCACCTGTCTTGTATGGCATCTGTTGTAAACTTTAACAGCGTGTCCACACATTGGTTACCAGCTAAAGCCAAATCCAGGTTTTGAGTATCTCTTCTGGGTGTTGGCAATTCCCTATCCAAGTGGGGATAAGCTTGAGGCAAGTAAAGATTCTCACACTTCCATATTGACACTGAAAATAAATTTCTTGGAAAAAGAAGATGAGGAGAAGCACACTGGGAGAAGCACAGTGCCAGATTTCACAGGGGACCGTGCACAGAACACTTATAGGCCTGTGCCCACCCACATCCTCCTTGGACTCACTACATCAATGCTCAGTTAGACCCTAGGCTGGGCTCCCTCCCTGCAGCCCTTCTGCAGCTGCCCAGGGGAACTTGTATTCTGCTTTCCATAAATGACCCACATAGAGGCTGCAGTTATGGTCCAAACTATTTTGTACCATTTCTTATTAAATTAGACTGTGCAGGAACTCACAAATACAGGTTGAAAAAATAGCTATGAAAAATTCAGTTATTTCTTAAGTAACTCCCCAGAGCTGTCAACCCACAGAATGCTTCAGAATAAAGGCAGCAGATGGGTGCATGCCAAGAAAGAGGGGCACATATTAAAGCAGTGTTGTTGTTCACACTCATACTTCATTCATGAACACTGTTGGTTTTCAGAGGTTGAAGTGTTCTTCGTGGTCACTGTATGTTGTTCGCTGGTACCTTGAGCCTTCCTGAGGAAAGCTGTAAGAATCACATGATGAGTCAGTCTTCAGCTCTTGGAGGCACATGAGAGACCAAATTAGAATCCTGTGTCCTGTGAACAGGGATGAGGTGCAGCCTACACTCAGAGCTCACCGTTGGGGCAGCACAAATCCTGCATCATGCACAACCCCAGAAGGTTTCTCTGCAGAATTTATTAAATAAGCTCCTATCTGCAAGGAAAGCAAAAGCTCTTTGTGCTAGGGAGATAACTCAATTGGATAAGCGCCTACCTGACAAGCATGAAGTCCTGAGTTCAATCCTTAGTACAGAAAAACAAACACAGAAACAAACAGAGAAAATCTCCTGAGTAAGAAGATCAGAAAGGTAAGACTGAAACATAAAAGTAGGAAAAGAATAAAACAGTTTAACTAAATACTCAACAGAGAAAAAAACACCTTGTTTGAGATCTTATGGGAGAACTCTCTATCAGCAGCCTCTCAGGATCCAACAAAAAGCAGGAATCACAGAGAACAAGACCCATGATTCCTTCTGCATTCAAAAGAGGAAAATACCATGCAGCTTTGAAAATCCAAGTACAGTGGGTTTATCAGACATTTAGAAATTGTTAACAGTACAACCTACAGAAAAGCTCATACAGTGTGAAACACTTCTCTTAAAAATATGAATAACTGTGAAAGATGTTTTCCCAGTTACACAATGTGAGCAGAGTCCTCAGAACGCAGTAAATCATGAAGATACCTTAAAAACAACCTGGCCCTGGACTTTCTCATAAGCCACTGGATGCCACGCCCTCCTGCCACTGACCAGAGGCCTCTGGCTGACAGGGCACTCACAGTCTCACCCTCTCCCTGGGAAGCCAGGCTGGCCCTCAGGATGCTGCTGCAGAATGCAGTTTCCTCTTCTCCCTTTGGGCTTGTGAGTCATTACCAAAAGTTTTCTTCTACAGAAGAGAATGATGCCATGCTTTACTGCTAATTATTTGTATAATTTGTTTACAAGGATTTCTCTTCTTTGCTTGCAGTTGCACTGGGGCAGTGGAACAAAATGATATATCAATGTCCAGAGCAAGAGAAAAGACTGCCCACTCATCTTGTAACACATCCATTGTAAACTTTGACAACTTGCCTATACACTGGTACCGGCTAGAGCCAAATCAGCATTTTGAGTATCTCTTATATGTCCTGGCAGTTCCCAATCAAAGTGGGAGTAAGTTTGAGGCAAGTAAAGATTCTTGCACTTCCATGTCCATGTTGAAAATAAATTTCTTGGAGAAAGAAGGTGAGGCCACATATTACTGTGTATACTGGAAGCAGCACAGTACCCAAGTTTGCAGGGGACCCTGCACAAGAACACCTCTAGGCCTGTGCCCACCCACATCCTTCCACAGGGTCACCACATTAATGCTGGACTAGATTCTAGGCTGGGCTCCCTCCCTGCAGCCCTTCTGTAGCTTCCCAGGGGAACTTGGATTCTACTTTCCCAGAATGATCTGCAGAGTCCACAGTTATAGTCCAAACTGTTTCACACCATTTATTATTAAATTCGACAGTGCATGAACTCTAAAGCACAGGTAGATTGTTCATATCAAAATTTAGTTGTCTGTTAATGAACCGTACAGAGATGTCTACCAACTGATTGCTTCAGAATGAAGGTTACAGATGGGTGCATGCCAAGAAAAAGGGGTACCTATTAAAGCAATGCACTTGTTACGCTCATATTACATTCATGGGCTTTGTTAGTTTTGCAAGATTGATGCAACTTTCTTGGTAATTGCATGTCATTCACTGGTATCTTAAGTCTTCCTCAGGAAAGCCAGTGAGCATTATATTACCAGGAAGCCTTCAACTCTTCGGGCATATGAGAGACTAAAGTAGAGTCCTGTGTCTAGTCAACAGGGATTGAAGCCCACACTAGAACTCACAGCTGGGCCAGCACAAGCTCTGATTCAGGCAGGAGCCTAGAAGTTTTGTCTGCAGGGTTCTGCAGGGAAAACAAGACCTTCTGGGTAAGAAGATCAGAAAGATAAGACTGTGTTGCAAAAGTAGGAAGAGTAGAGATGCAAAGCAAAGAGGATCTGGAGGGGTCAAAGCCAGCCTGCGTGCCTGGATGCTTTCTAGAGAGAAAAGAAAGTTGGGACTGTGCTTCTCTGGGCCTCTATGCCTCATGTTCTATGCATACTATGCTATTAGGTTTGCAAAAGACTCGTGGCGGAGTCCCACTGTAGGGAGTCACACAAAAATGAAGGTTCTCTGCTGACAGTGATGGTGACAGTGCTTACCATGGATTATAAGGAGGGTCAGCAACTGACCCTCCTTGTGTAAGTCAACTGCTGAGTTTAGTAAATAAAGTTTAATTGAACATGACTTCCTGCATTTGTCTACTTAAGGCCCTAAGGTGAATTTGCACTAAAAATGTTTTGGCTAGGTAGTTGTCACAGACATTATAAAGTCTGTAATGTTTCCTGGTTGGTTCTTGAGCAAACAGATTGTCACTTGCTGACTCAAATGACATTCACGAGTGACACGTGTTTTTATTTTCTATTTCCTCCCTTTACAGTCTTTACCGACCAAGCCTTTGTCCCACATCCACACCCAGCCTTCCCATGCCAGTGGCATGACTATGGGTACATTTCTTCATATGGCATTGACTTTTACTACCTTTAAACCATGGAGTATGTTAAATTGTACTTAATGAACTTTGAGTGGAGTAATTCTAAATATGAAAATTTCTTCCTACTAACATATTCAGAGTGTAACGATAATGAGGGCACTCTGTTAATGTCTTGGTGTAGAAAACAGCATCCAGAAGATGATGTGGTGAAATGCCATGGCCCCATCCTGGCAGCCACTGTCCCAGATCCATGTCCAGGCTCCATTTCCTCCCCTGCAGTGAAATGTGTTGAGCGCTCCTGTTGTCAGTCCCTCAGCCTCTTGTGGGACAGTGCTGGCACAGGAGGCTCCTCTGCATCTCCTCCTAGGGCCTCTTCCTCTGCTGTAAGACTCATCAGCCAAGGACGTGGCCTCCTTTACTGGAAAGCAGAGAAGGGAACCCTGGATGGCCAGGTCGCTCCCCTTCAGGTTCAGGACAGCCATGGGGCCAAGCAAACCAAGATCAGAAATCTCATCTGGACCTTGAATCCTTTAGGATGGAAACGTCAGCTCAAGACTCCAAGTTCTGCATAAATAGAGACGCCATGATCAAATGCATACTACTTTAATGAACTTATAGGTCTTGTTTTATCTTGGTCTTAACCATCCAACAGAAAAGTATAAAAACAAGGTATAAAAAGTAAAACCATATTTAAAACCATATTAATATGCTGAGCCGTCAAAGGCTCAAGTCAACAACTTCTGACAATGCCATTCTTACGGATAACCCACTACTATTATGGACTCCTGGACTATATTGGATTATTTTGCTGAATTCACCACACCTAAATATTTGAATGGCAATGAACTACCCATTTGTGACAAAACTAAATAGAAAACAGGGATATAAATGAAGGACCATTTTGCAGTGAAAAAAATATATATGTATATTCAAGACAGGATAGATATACAGCTACTTTCTCTTAGTTCAATGAGAAGAAAGACTTGTACTAATAATGTTTAGACAAGATATCATGTCTGCATCTTGTACTATGAATAAATACTACAAAGACAACAATATGTAGTATATTTATTATAACTGTAGTATTAACCTGTTTTGAAACTGTCTCATTGCTATTTCTTTCTGCAGCCCAGAGCCACCTCCCCCCACTTCCTTCCTCTGCCACTACTGGCCACGCCCTCCTGTCTCTGCCTGGGGTCCACTCACCAGCTCCCCACCCTCCTGCCTCCTCTTTGAGGACACAGCCTGGTATTCAGGATGTCCCTGCTGCAAGTACTTACCTTCCTCTCCTTCTGGGCTTGTGAGTCAGGCTCTGCCCATTTTGGTTCTGAAGAGTGAGCAAAGTAATTCTCCCACGATTCCTTCTTATATTCCCAGAAGTTCAATTGACAGTTCTCTTCTTTTACTTACAGGTGGGCTTGGAGTGAAAACAATGGGGCAACCCCAAATATCTGTTACCACAGAACTAAAGAAAAGGGTTGACATACGCTGCAAGATATCACCTGATGATTTTGAATATGACAGTATTCATTGGTACTGGGTGAAAAAGGACCAGGCATTAGAGCATCTGGTTCAAATAGTCTCATCAACAATTCCAGCTCAAGGAAGAAACAACAGAGTTTCAGTGAGGAAGAATTTTGCAACTCTCTCCTCAATCCTTACCATAAATTATGTAGAAAAAGAAGATGAGGCCATTTACTACTGCGCTGCTTGGGAGCAACACACATTATTTGAGTTATGGGGTGGCCCCACACAAGATCCCCTTCTGAATCAGTGCCCACCCACATCCTTCCCTACAGAGGTGTCACAATCAGCTACCTAGCTGGGCTCCCGGGCTCAGCTCCATCTCACAGCTCCCCTGGGCTCTCCAAGCAGCCAGTCACGTTGGTCTGTCACCCAGCATGATTCTAGATCTCTATCTGATGGTCCTTCTTACTGAGTTCCAGCCCTTTCTGTAGGCTTAAAGGGAAGTGGCTGTGTCACCCTCACCTCAGCATCATCCCAAGGCACTGGGTAAGGGGTCAGGGTCAGCATAGACAGGGACTCATGGTGACCACTGTCTCTACCTATAACAGGCACAACACACAGAGCACCTGGGCAGAATAACTATCTCTTGTCTAGGTTTCAGCCAATGACATTGAAGCTTAGAGAGCTGAATCCTGGTGAATAAGAATTTATTTCTTTTAGTGAGACAGTGCCAGCCACAAGCTTGAGTGAAACGTAAGAGTGATTTTCTCCTGTCACTCTGACCTGTTCAAAGTCATAGCCAAACCCCAATGGCCTGGGGTGTGGTGCTTCCTTCAGCAGAAACTGTGTACTCTCTCTTCTGCCTCTGGTCTTGGGCTGTCTTGGGTAAATGTTCTCAGTGCTTTCTGCCTCTCATTCTTTAGGAAGCCCCCTGGGCGGGAGTCCCTGATGCACTGCTTAAGGTAGTTTATCGACATGGAAAGAAAGAGTGAAGGAAAGAAAGAAAGAGAAAGGAAGGAAGGAAGAAGAAAGAATGAATGAAAGAAAGAAAGAAAGAAAGAAAGGGGGAGAGAGAGAGAGAGAGAGAGAGAGAGAGAGAGAAAGAGAGACACAGAGAGTGTAAAATGTAAGATCTTTTAGATGAAATCAGCCTGGGCTTTACATTGCTTCCAGGCCACTGACAGACAGTGTGACCCAAGAAGCTCATAGAGTTTTTCATCTCGTTCTTTCAATTTTCCATTGGCACAGTGTTAGCATGCACTAGTCATTCAACCTATCGAAAGTCTTGGAGAGCTTCTCACAGTTCTTAAAAATAGGGCCAAAATTATAAACTCCCTTCTTTTCTAAGTAGTGAAAAAGAGGTAAAGAAGAGACATTTGTGAAGCTACATTTGAAGAAAGACAAAGAGGATATTGCTCCCAAAAGAAGGTCATATATGTTAGTATAATGTAGACATTTCAGTGAACTTATATTTTCTTACTGCTGAATGGTGCTAAAACCACACTGCAACAGATCCGGCTATGCAGGCCCCTCCACTGGATCAGAAGCCTTTTCTTCCCCTGCTCCTCCTCCTCCCAGCAAAAGTGACACTGTATCTTGTTCCTAACTCATTGTCCTTTGGTGACCACTCTAATCATGGCAAATGCCAAGCCCATGGACTTTTCTCCTGTCTTTGACATATATATATATATATATATAT